ACGGGCGGGTGAGTGGGCCCTCCGGAGCACCGTACCGGAATGATACCTGGTGCTCTTGGTAGGCACCGGTACACCCATACCAGGGCGTACCAGTCGTAACCCACCACTGTCCCAGCCCCACCTGCTCTAGGTCTCTTAAAAACTGTGGACACTGAGGAATTCTGACACACTGACCTTGACCGCCCCATTATCTATGAAGAAGACCTTTCGTGCCCCCCAAAACAGGTTGCATTTCTGTACTGGTTTCCGGGGGAGTCCTGCTGTCTCCCCAGCCCAGATAAAAAGTGACCACAAAGTGACCTTACCGCAAAGGCCGCAGAGCTTCCCAAAATAGGACGATGGGACGGAGACCTCAGCATGGTGGTTCCCATCAAATCTCACCGAGAGGCCGAAATCCGTTTGGACCCGAACAAAAGTGCCACTCAGGCGCACAGACACTCGTCCCCCAGCCAGAGAGACAGGCAAGGTCACTCGCTTTCCATCTACCTGTGTGGCAGAGAGACAAGAGACAGTTCCAGTAATGGGAGCAGGAGAAGGGGTCCATTCTGGTGAATGTTTTTAGCAGCAAGGAGTATCCGTGCAGGTAGTGGGATCAGGAATACTCACCGTTACTCTCCGCCCTTTCAGTAGCACAATCTCCGTCCCGTGCACAGTTATGTTGACTGACTTGAGGTAGGAAACCTTGGTGTTGCTTCCGCGGTGTTCGTTGGTTGTCTGGATCTGGAAGGTGGGCTGGTCAGGTGTAGCATTGCACGTGGCAGTGAGCAGGTAGGTGCAGTTCCCCATGAAGTGGAAGAGGCGGCCATCGTACGTTGTGTAATGGGGATCTCCAGAAACTATGCAGGATGCGGAATCTTTGGGAGACAATACAGGTTGACATTTGGGGTAGAAAGTGGGGTCAACAACCACCCCACCTCCTGACTGCTGTGACGTGGTGTTTCGTGACCTTTTTTCCCCTTCACGGAGCTGGGGGTGCACGTGGCCTGCACATTATGCATTCAGCCCACAGGCTGCCAGTTTGACACCCCTGCTTTACAACAATAAAAACAATGTTGTGATGCCAGCAGCCTTTGCTCACTTTCTATTTTTCCTGGCACAACAGTGAACGGCACTTCCTTCATCTGAAAACCGACATTTTGCTCTTACTTTTGTTGTTCTTGTTCTTGTTATTCTGTCCCTAATATTACAGTTAAATAGATTTGATCTTTTTTACAACTGCAATTTTCGCCTTACCTAACAACCATTTCTGAAGACATGAGTGAAAGTGAGAGATTACAACCTCTCCAAAGCACCAACCTGGAGGTTGCTCAGGAGTCGTCTGGTCCACACCTGGCCTCTGTGTTGTAGGTTTGGTGGTGGTGATGGGAGTAGAGGCTGTTCTAGTGGGGATGGTGATGTTGGGACCGACAGCTGTGCTGGTGGTGATGGGAGTAGTGGCTGTTCCAGTGGGGATGGTGATGTTGGGACCGACAGCTGTGCTGGTGGTGATGGGAGTAGTGGCTGTTCCAGTGGGGATGGTGATGTTGGGATGGACAGCTGTGCTGGTGGTGATGGGAGTAGAGGCTGTTCCAGTGGGGACAGTGATGTTGGGATGGACAGCTGTGCTGGTGGTGATGGGAGTAGAGGCTGTTCCAATGGGGACAGTGATGTTGGGATGGACAGCTGTGCTGGTGGTGATGGGAGTAGAGGCTGTTCCAGTGGGGACAGTGATGTTGGGACCGACAGCTGTGCTGTTGGTGATGGGAGTAGCAGCTGTTCCAGTGGGGACGGTGATGTTGGGTTGGATAGCTGTGCTGGTGGTGATGGGAGTAGCAGCTGTTCCAATGGGGACGGTGATGTTGGGACTCATAGCTGTGCTGTTGGTGATGGGAGTAGCAGCTGTTCCAGTGGGGACGGTGATGTTGGGTTGGATAGCTGTGCTGGTGGTGATGGGAGTAGCAGCTGTTCCAATGGGGACAGTGATGTTGGGACCCACAGCTGTGCTGGTGGTGATAGGAGTAGTGGCTGTTTCAGTGGGGATGGTGATGTTGGGTTGGATAGCTGTGCTGGTGGTGATGGGAGTAGCAGCTGTTCCAATGGGGACAGTGATGTTGGGACCCACAGCTGTGCTGGTGATGATGGGAGTAGTGGCTGTTCCAGTGGGGACGGTGATGTTGGGACCCACAGTCGTTGTTGGAGCTGTTGCAATGGTGCTTGGAGGCACAGGAGTTGGTGGGTGTTCTGGAAAGAAGAACAATTTTGAAATTAGGGGCATCAAGAATAAACCTCTTGGGCCCCTGTCACCATTCAGAGGCTGTACCCCCCACAGGGACTCCAAGAACCATTGAGATGCTGTGGCTTTCTTCTCCATTTGGTGTTCTTTCCGCTGTGAACTTCTTTCATGTCCCTTTCATGGAAGCTTAATTTACACAGTGTGATCAAATCCAGAATACAGAAACACAGGTGGACTGTCACACATTTGCGTTTGCGTGCCCCTCTATCCACCCAGAAAGACAACTGACCATACTGCCCACATTCACTGCAGCCTATACCTTCATACCTCTCTGTCTAGGTGTGCAAAGTCCTGCTTAGACTGCCTCACCTGCACAATGGCCCTTGTGCACCAAAATGTTATCCAACGACACGTCCAAGTAGGCGTTCCTTCCTCTGATAACCTCAAAAACCACCTGAATTAAAGGGAAACAGTCAATCATGGGAGGGTCCTTGCTGTTCTCTTGTCTGTTTTCTTGCAGACATTTCATTGCCCAAACTAACTAGCACTGATGGTGTGATCCTAGTTTAGGTAATGAAACACCTATAAGCAAATAACAAAGGTGAGAGAGCACCTGTCAACTCCTAAAGTTACCATAGTGAGAGAAGGTTGGGGAGGGGAGTGCATCCCACGCATACTGTCGACTTAAATCGGATCTCAGATTACTGCAGCAGGGCTGGGCTTGATGCACCTCATTGGGGAATGTGATTTATGACACAGACTGAGAGGAGGGAAGGAACAGGGGAAAGTTCAGCTATAATTCAAACAAGGCTCAGATATGACTGCGAAAAGGCCTTGCCTAATGGGGCTCCTAATAAACAACTGGATTAGCCCTTCATGGTATTGGACCTGGGTACTTGAGAGACCGCCTGCTGCCAATTACCTCCCAAAGACCTATCAGATACCACAGACTAGGCCTCCTCCGAATTCCATCTGCCAGCCAGTGTCGATTGGCAACCCCCCGGGGGAGGGAATGTAATAATAAGAAAGCTGCTTCACACCACTGTTTTTCTTATATTTACTTATTGGCTGCTATTTCACTGTTTTCTCCTAACACGTTTAAGAAACATCCAAGATTATACCCAAACAGTTTCTATTTGCACAAGATT